AGTTACACTTCTTAATTTTAACACTTCCTATGAAGCAACATTAAATTAAGGCAATGTGATATTGATGCAATCATAGCAAATAGATTGATGGAACAGAATGGAAAGTTCAGAAATAGACTCATACATACATGATCAATTGATTTTGGACAAAGATGCAAAGGCAATTCAGTGGAGGAAATATCATCTTTTCGGCCAATGGTGGTGTTGGGACCATGAACATCTACATTAAAAAAAAAAAGAACTTCGATACGTACCTTTCACCATTTTTAAGCCTTAATTCAAAACAGATCATAGATGTAAATATAAAACCTAAGACTATTAAATTATAGAAGAAAATGTAGGAGAAAATCTTTGTGACCTTAGACTAGGCAATGATTTCCTAGATGCACCAAAAACATTATGTATAAAAGAAAAATTTTAAACTTGGATACCATTAAAATAAAAAATGTCTGTTCTTCAAAAGCTATAATTAAGAGACTGAAAAGACAAGCTGCAGCCTGGAAGAAAATGTTTACAAACCACATGTCTGATAACGGACTTTTAGCTGTATATAGAGAACTCCTAAATCTCAGTAATAAGAAAACAAACCCCAGTCAGAAAAATGGATAAACAATCTGAACATTTAACCAAACAAGACTTGAAGATTGAAAGGAAGCACTTTTCAAGATGCTCAACATCATCAGGAGGATGCAAATTAAAACTACAAGCTACCATTGTGTAGTATCCTAATGTCTAAAATTAAGGCAACTAACCGTGCCAGGTAGGCCACAAGTGAGGATGTGTAGCAATGGGAATGTTCCATGTTGACAGCTAGTGGGAATGTAAACTTGTGCATTCATACACCTGCCATGTGATATAGCCATTCCACTCCTAGGTGATTATTCAAGACTAATGAAAGTACTTATGCATAAAAGTTGCATATAAACATTCTCAGCAGTTTTATTTGTAATATCTAAAAACTGAAAGCAACCGAAATGCCCATCAAGTCAAAGGATGAAACAAATGTACTCAATAGAATACTACTCAAAAATAAAGAAGAATGATGCATTGGTGTGTGTATAGATATACATAGATAGAGTGATAGATCAATTGATCGATCACAACATGGGTGTATCTCAAAAGAGATTATTATTCTGAGTGAAAGAAGAGTACATACTGCATGGTCCATTTCCATAAAATTCTAGTAAATGTAAATTGATCTGTTTTGACAGAAAGCCAATCTGTGGGAGAATTGGGAACATTTTTAATTGGGATTAAAAATGGGAAGGATGAAAAAAAAATGGGAAGGATGATACTTTGGGGGATATTATGTTTGTTATCTTGATTGAGGCAGTGGTTTCATGGGTATCAAAACCTACCGAATTGTTTACTTATCATACGTGTAGTTTGCTGTTGATCCATTATATCTCAATTTTTAATAATTATTGTGTAATGGTTGTCACAACACTAAGAGCACATGACATGGTTTTGGTGATCTTTGGGCAACCTCCAACATGAGTTTTTGCTTAATAGAAAAGGTTATGTGGGTTTACATTTTTAGTCATGACCATATAGGTCATAATTAGCTATGAGTTCGTAGTAGAAAGTGAGAAAATGTTGTCACTGGGCATTGGTTGTATTAGTCTGATTAATATGGAGCCTGGGATGTACCTTAGAGTAATTGTTAACACATTCTTTCATTTTGTCCTTACATTTTTGGACCATGAGACTGATATCTGAACACTATGTTCCAAGATACTCATACGCACTTCTAGTTAGTGAGTAAATATACCCATAGACATTTTATTTTAATGAGAATGAATTCTCATTTACAGGGACATGTCTGATCCTTTATTTAAAAATAGAGTAAAATTCCACTCATATATTTTAATTGACGTTCGTGGATGCCTTTCACCCAAGGACTTCTCAAAATCATTTAATGTCCAAAGACTGTAATATACCATCTTCCAGTTTGACAGGTGCAAGAAAAGGGAATTAAGTGGCTTGCAGGGATCACAAAGCAATTCTGCAAATCTGTGTGTGTGTGTGTGTTCACATGTGTGTGCATATGCACACGTGCTCATGGGCACATGTGAGTGCAATGAGTGCATGCATGGTAGACAGTCAGGCAAGGTATAAACAAAGCTGACCCAACATCTTTAATTTGGTTGCTTATTGTATTATGTTTTCTTTTTAGTGAACTTATTTTGCTATTTCCTGAATAGGCCAGGTATTGTAACATAAGGGTATATTATGAGCAGGTCACAAAGACGATGCAGGAATGCCACATGACCAGAGAAAAAAATTTAACACAATAGTCCATCCCAAACTTCTCTCCTCTCAAAACTGTCCTTGCTTTGGAGTGTGGTGACTCTTTACAAAGCTTCTGGTGTTGCCTTTGATTTACAATGACTGAACACATGCTCAACGTCTACTACATTGCAAGTAGTTTGCCAAGCTCTTGACATACATTTAATTACATGATCACCGCAACACTGGGCTATGGGTAGTAGAACTAGACTAGCTTGATTTAAACATCTTCTCAGGAAATGGTGTCTGGATTTGAAATTGGAGCATTGAAGCAGACAGACTTAAGTTCTTCTTCAGTTAGCCATGTGACCTTGGGCAAGTTACCTACTCATATTTGAGACTTAATGGCTCATCCACAGAAGAGAATTATAAAGCTCATGTTATAGAGAAGTTGTGTTGCAAGCCTCACAGCACATCATAAATGCTCAGTGGGGAAACAGAAATAGAAATGCTATTTCGTTTGCATTCCACCCTGTTCTGCTAGGTTCTTTGCCTTTCCTAGTACATCAGTGCAAACCAGATGAGGCTGAGTCCTCCTGGCTAATGGCTCTGCAGTTTTCCCCTTGGAGCAGATCTCCTCATTAGAGATCTGTCTTCTCAGCAAGACTGTAGACTGTGAGTCCCCTGAAGACAGAGATCATCTCTCAGTTATTACTGTTCCTCCAGTGCCCAGCCCAGGGACCAGTAGATTCTTATGAATTGAATTGACAGGTCTCATGCACGATGTACTTCCCAGCATCTCTAGAGCTTTGTTCACAACCCATACCCCGCATCCCAGATCCTGCCAGCCTACTCTTTGTCTTCATTCCAGAAACTGCTTGATTTCATGTCACTTGACCATCCTCTGACACGAAGAGCTCTGTCACCATGTCTACATTATGGCTCATGGCTTTTACTGCTGTGAGTGTTCCAGAAAACTGACCTTGGCGTGTGTGACATCCCTGAGCCCTGTGGAATGTTCACACCTGGCCAGGTCTCTGGCCCACCAGCCTCTCTTGACCTTAATGTCATATCATTCTACCCTGTTTCAGCCCAGTTTATAAGGGTGTCTATTACTCATTTAGTCAATGGACCCATAGCAGTATGTTTATAATTACTGTGTTTTGCTCTTCCTGTTTTTCTTCCTACCCTGTTATCTGCTCTCTATTCTCCTGATGCCATATGACCATCCCTATTTTGACTTCTAGGTAACACCCGTGAATCTACAAGAAACCCATCGTGTTTTACATATTTGCACTGAGGATATTTAAGATTATCTTTTGTCAGGGTGCCTGGCTGGCTCAGTCAGTAGAGCATGTGACTCCTGATCTCAGGATTGTAAGTTCAAGCCCCATGTTTGGTATAAAGATTATTTAAAAATAAAATCTTTTAAAAAAGAAAAAAAAAACAGATTATCTTTTGTCCCATTGCATAATGGTTCTGTCCTGGATAACTTTGGAGCTGAAACTCCATCAGTTAGGTTCTTTCCCTTACAATATCAGCCATTCTTAGTTTGAGACAACTTAGAGTACTCCAGCCTGTTTCTAGACAATGCCCTCCTCTTTTCCAATTGCCATACTTGGCATTTTGTTTATCCAGGGTCGGTAGGTCAAAATATGTGCCTAATACAGTCTAAAGTCTGATGGAAATGCAGAGGGTAGAGCATTCAGTCTAGAATTAGAGAGCTATTTCTTGACTTTTTCCATGGCTTTCTTTTTGGGTTTAAGGATTTACACAGATTGCATGCATTCCACAAGTATCCTGATTCCTCTAAGAGATTTTATAAGGTAAGCCCAGGTTTTCCCACCCTGGTGAAAGTGGTTAGGAGCTCCTGTAGCAAGTTTCTGTAGCGAGGTGTTTTGGGTGAGCCCTGTGAAAACATTCTAAAGCACTGTGTTTTCTCTCTGGCTTTTCTGAAAGACATCAGATTTCCTGGTTGGCACTTATTTTGACCATGAAATGGGAAAAGGTGAAGGGAGGAGATCAGGCATTTTTCTGCTTCTAATTTAAAATTATTGTCCAGAATAGCTCTCAGAGTGGCTCAGAATTTATTTAGAGACCTCTGTAGGGTTCTTGACGGGGTAAAGACCATTCAGAAAGCATGCTGGCATAGCTTCTTCTCTCATTCTTTTGGAATAACTGTGACATTGGATTTTCAGGGAAACAGTGAAGGAAGCTTCCATCTTTGCATGCAAAATATTTTCCATCCTAGCTTGCAAAGGAATATTTGAAAGGAATTTTTCATTTTTGTGAATGAACAAATAAAATAATTTACCCTGGGACAGCTTTCTGTTGCATAGGAAATGAACTCAATATTAGGTCAAATGGAGATACTGACCTGACATTGCCCTGATTTCCCATGAGCCTTGGGAAGTGTTTTGACCTCTGGACTACTCTTTTCCCATTTCTCCCTATTGTCTTGTGTGTGTGTGTGTGTGTGTGTATCCATGTGCATGTGTACGTGTGTGTGTATTAAGGTATGTCTTTTCCCCAAAATTCAAATAAAGTATTTGTGAACATAATAATAATTCTCAAATGGTAGGAGAACTCTTTAATATGGTGTTGCAGAAAATAATTTTCTTATGTAAAGAGAAACATCTTAATTAAATTTGTATTAAGGATTTTTTTTATATGCCAAGATTACTTCGCACAGCACCCCTGAATCAGGGACAGTTTACTTACTGTCTTCCAGTTTTGCTGTAGCAGTCATGTTCTCTCTGCTTTTCTTTTAGGAGTCATCTCTACTGCAGACATTCTTGATCGAGAGACAACGGGGTCCTACTGGCTGACCGTGTACGCCACAGACCGGGGCGTTGTTCCACTTTATTCCACGATTGAGGTCTACATTGAAATTGAAGATGTGAATGACAATGCCCCCCTGACCTCGGAACCTATTTATTATCCTGTTGTCATGGAAAACTCGCCAAAGGATGTATCTGTCATTCAGATCCAGGCTGAGGATCCAGACTCCAGTTCCAATGAGAAACTGACATACAGGATTACAAGTGGGAATCCCCAGAACTTCTTTGCCATCAATACCAAAACAGGTAAGGGAATGCTCATATGACTTTTTTTCCAATTGGTCGTCTGGCTTTTAAATCCATCAGCCTGACACCTGCTTATTTATTTCATTTATTTTCCCCCTGACTTATTTTATGATATGGAGAATAACATTCTCTCTCTCTTTCTTGCCCCCCCCCGGGGGGGGTTAATTTCTGAAAAGGTGAGCATTCTACTTTTTATGTTCTGGCTGGTATGTTTTAACTTCAGCTGAACCAAGGTGAAATAATCTAATAGAAATGAGAGGCTTACACGAAAAGCTTTAGATTTGCTTTCCTTATTATAATAAAAAGTGGTTCCTCAGCCACTCAGAAGGCTGAATGCCCCCTTTGTCTTTCTGGGGAAGGAATAACCTGGCCAGTGCTGGGTTCTGTCGGTAAGCTGGCTTTGTGACACCTGTACTTCTGGGAACTTCTCCTTTGCTTGACCTTCATCTAGCTTGGTGTAAATGATCTCCTTTAAGCCTTAAATTTAAACCCCAGATTTTTTGTGATTCCTGTAGTACTCATGAGTATAGTGTCAATGTTTAGAAGAACTTCCGGTGTCTCAATTTTTACATAAAGTGTACCACCTGTAGATTTTTTGGTCTTTTGCATAAAAACATTTCTAGAGATCATTCTGACAATTTGCTGGCTAAGGCTCAGGAGGGGCAGGTGTGGAGTTCGGTGGACTGCATTCTGAGACAAGTGCATACACTGGGAAGGTCTCAGAGGTTCCTTGTTTCTTGTGATTTGCCTAGTTTAGATCTGAACAAGAGAGCCAGATCGTCAGTGAGAGTTGTGGTGGATAGAGTCTGAATTAATTGAAAGTTAGAAAAAAGAAAAAAAAAAAAAAGCTGTTGTTGTTTCACCCCAGGCAAGTGAATTGACAGTGGTCAAAAGTTAGGCTGGTTGGTATTTGCTGGTGTGGACATACCCAGTTTTCCTAACAAACTACTGATGGGGTTGATAGTCATTTCTCCTGCCTGTGCTTGTTAAAGAGGAAACATACAGCTGACCCCATGTATTTTATAAATGTCAGATTCCTGTGAACATACTTTAGAGAGAATGTCATGTTTTTTGGAAATAATTGATTTTCTCTAATTATAAGTGGGTCAGTCGTCTTGTTAGGCAGAGTCTCACATGCAAACAGTGGAATCAAGATTTCACTTGCATTTCACTCCTAGACAAAGAGTGGTCATCTTCTAACTTTCTGACTGAAGCCTGCTAGAACGTGCAAGAGAAGTCTCAGAGATTTGGAGGCTAGCTCAGCCTTTCAGAACCGTGTTACATGAGGGAAACTGCCCAAGGACCCCTGAGCTGTGCTGGAAATCCCCTCCTGATTCACTTTCCCAGCATAGCTTAAGGACTCTGTGGAATATGGTGACAGAGAAACAAATTCAGATACTTTGGAAAGTCAAGAGAGGGAGAGAGGATGAAGACCGAAAAAAAATGTCACAGTAAAGAAGTTGAGGGCACAGATGTCTTCATATTTCACAACCCCCGTGGAATGTGAAACACCCCCAGTCACCTTCTGCCTTCCTTCTAATTCCCTTGACACTTGAGTCATTCAGAGTGAGCCCACCACCCTCTTTTTGAGAAGTAAAAGACCCAGCAGAAGGACAGTTTCAACTCTTCTCTTTCTCCTCTGATGACCGAAAAGATTTTAGAATGAAGTCATAGGGAAGGATTTGAATTGGATGTGAAGAAGGTAGGCTGTAGATTATCTGCGGAGAAGAACATGTAACTAAAGCTGTCTTTTGTGCAGATTTTAGAAGTTTGCATGAAATCTCAGAAACTCTTGTATGGTCACAATTTAGCCTATAATGTGTAATAAGAGCCTTAATTATATTTACAATTTCTCTGTCCTTGCCATAGATTTTAAAAAACCATTTGTGCCAGGAATGGCATTTTAGACTCTCTTTTCTAATTGTCTAAAAGAAAGATAGAGCGTTACTTTGTAATTCTCCAGCACATGGTAAGAAAACACTGGATTTTATTGATTCACTTACTCACCAGACATTTGTTGTCATGCCTACTAGTTTCCAAACAAAGTCTAGTAACAGCTATATAAACTTAAGATATGATCCAAACCTTCCTGGGACCCAAAGGTACATGAAATTAACAAAGTAACTCATGTTTATCACACAGTGAAAGAGTACAATAATTGATCATGGTGGGAGAATTTCACTCAATATGGCCTTGGTGAGAGTGATGGTCAGGGAGTGCTTCATGGAGGCGGTAATATTTGGGGTTAGAAGTCCTGGTTTTTAAGTCCCTGCTCTGCACTTCCTTGCTGGGAAACACAATTGACCATACCAAGGGGAAACATAAACCAAATGAGACAGTCCTGACTTCACCAGCTTTTATGAACTTGGGAAAATTATGAAACCTTTCTGAAATTTTCCTTTTTACTGAGCGAGGATTGTTGCAAGGAACTTAGGAGTCCTCTGAAATGCTTAGGACATTAGCACAGTGCCTGCAGCATTGAGACCACAATCAGTGATACCCCATTCTGATTGCCTTACCTTTGATTACAGACACATCATTCACTCTCCTTGGACCTCAGCTTCTTATCTATAAAATGAAAATGGCATTGCTGACTTCATGGCGGGGGCAGGTGTTACTCATGAAGACTGAAAGTCGTGATGTGTTTGAAAGTTGTCAGTAAACTACAAAGCTCTGTAAGAATCACGTTATCACTCTATTCCTTTCTATGGAAATTCACAGAACCACAAGCCTGGTGTAATTCTTGTGAAAATCGTTGCTCTAATATAATGCTGCCTGTGGAGCAGTCTTTAGCCAGTTCTACAAACCCTCTACAGGGACACTACTCTTTGGCATTTCTTCCTGTCTTTCTAAAGGCATTTGTCTGAAATAGTTATGTTAACGTAACATCTTTTAGTAATGAAGTGGGAGTGCACTCACCAGCATATTTATTAAAGATCGTTGCTTTAGATTTTTTTTTTCAACTGGATATAAACTCTAGTAAACTGACCTTTCATTCCTTCCTTTGTGGTAGAGCTGAAATTTAAAGACTTTTGTTTTGTTTTGGCAATGTGCTCCATAATAAATAAGATTTAAATGATTAATGCATGCTCAAATAATGTCAGTGGTCATGGTCCACAGATTGCAGCAGATAACAGATGGCCCAGACCTAAGCAGTGAGTGTTGAACAGTGTTCCCTACCCAAAATGCCTTTTTTTTTTCCCTAACAGACCTAAAACCACATAAAAACAGTAATCTGGGACCTTCCTGAGTAATTGTGGCTTAAGAGTAAAAACAAAAACTGTACCTCTGAGGTCCTTTCTACCTATACAGAGAACCCCTGATTCACTCCAGGCAGAGCAGCCAAATTCAGCCCAGGGCAGCGTCTTTGTGGATGTCTGCCCCAGCTCACGGGTAACTAGAGCCCTACCCGTGTGTTCTGAGCCTCAGTCCCCCAGCAGGCTGGTGTCCACTTGCCTCTTTGGGAAAGCAGGCACTCAAATGCTTGCTTCCAGCCCTTGAAACAAAATTTTAGTTGGCCATTAACTAGTCATCCTGGCTCAGTTGGGGAACAGGTCTGAGAAGTTCCTCCAGGGTTTTAGAAGGTTTATTTTAGTTGTATCTGTGGTATGGATATCACTTAGCAGAGCGCAAGCACACCAGCATTTGGTAGAGCACTAAGGAGATGTTAGCTGTTGCTGTTACTATTACTTTTTTTTTTTTTTTAAGATTTTATTTATTTATTTATTTGACAAACAGAGGTCACAAGTAGGCAGAGAGGCAGGCAGAGACGGGGCGGTGGGGAGGCAGGCTCCCTGCTAAGCAGAGAGCCCGATGCGGGGCTCGATCCTAGGACCCTGGGATCACGACCCAAGCCGAAGGCAGAGGCTTTAACCCACTGAACCACCCAGGCGCCCCTGCTGTTACTATTATTAATCATCCTGTATTCCACCCTAGAATAAAGTTTATGTAAGTTGCACGCATAGTTTTCCCAGCACTGTCTTTTGATGAAGGCGTACTTGAAAGGCTGCAATGTTTTTCCTCAGTACACGGTGTATAGCACTGGAACCTTCCATTCAGGCTTATAAAGTGTATTATGCACTACTGTCTACCTCTGCTATTTTAGACCCCAGGTGTTGCGGGATGGCAGATATATAAGAGAAGCATGAGATTGTTTGTGCATTCAGGGAATTTATTCTCATGGGAAAAATAGGACCGTCACACATACAACGTACTTTAGCAAAGAGCGTAAGGCAACTTATAAGAAATAAATGGTCAAACTCTGTGGAATGTAAGCTGTGAACAGGGTAACATGTCAGAAAGGGGCTGGAGCAAGGACTTCCCAGATCTGAAGTGGGCCCTGAAGAATGGGTCCATCTGCAGAGAGAGCAAGCCAGAAAACAAGTTAAGTTGACCTTGAAAACCCATCTGCTGCTGCTGAAGCTAGTTTGAGAGGCATTATACAATTAGAAAAGGAATTTTAAAAGACTCATAAATGTCTGGAACGTTGTGAGATATTAGAAATAACAAATATGTGCATCTCTTCTCTCTCTTTCTCTTTTTGGTTTGGTGATATTTGGATTTTTAAAAGCCTTGGGTCGTATCTCTTTCTTTTGAGAGGCCAACTTAGAAATAATACTTTCAGAGGGAAAAAACATACATAGGAAAGATCCCTCTATGTTTTCCTTTGCCTCTGTTAAACATACAACCAGGATTGACATATGCTGCCTTGAGAGCATGTCTGTGAAAGCGATCCTTGCTTCTTCCAGATCTTCTGCTTGTCGATTACACAGGGCATAGGCTTTCTGATTTCCTTCCTGCAGTTGTGATGTTTCCCTTTGATGCATGCTTTGGTCACAGGCATCTCCACCTGTGTTTGAGTGGTGATGAAGCCCAATTCTCTTTTACTTTCTGCGAGCATCTTGGGACAAACCTGACCAAAAGATGCTTAATGTGTGGGTAGATCAACTGCCCTGCCCACCAGGTGGGTGGAAAGGCAGAGATCCTCTTTAAGTGTTTCT